TACTTACGTCATAAATTACTTATGCCGTAACCTTTTTAAAAATGCACAGTTCCAGCTCACACTGTTTGGACTGTTCGTGCATGCAACTATGTCACAATTTAGCCTTTTTTTCTGCGTTAAGGCGATTGCAGACTTGTTCGTATTCTTAAGCTAAGCGTCGACAGCCTGTGCACGAAGTTAAGAAATCGAACTCCCATGTAAAAATATGTACTCTTTTTTTATTTTTGATAAAGCATTGGCTTTCTATTGTTTTAACATATACAACATCCGCGCTTTTACTGGTTAGAAAATTAACTATAATAAATAAATAATTGTAAAATATTATTTACAAATCCTAACAATATTAAAAGTAAAGTCGTACTTTAATAAAGAAATTCTTCTAGATTAAGTGTAATAATGTACTGCTAATATATTTTTCACCTCTATTGTGGTTTTTTCAACTTGTTTCAGTCTGTGGCATTCGCCATGTTGCAGGCACCAATATAAAAGCGCCAGGCTTCTGCTCATCGTCAGCATTTGACGCAGATTATACAAATTTATGCAACAGTGTTGGCACTTTTGCTGGGCTCCAGCTCCCAACTCCCCGAACTCCCCCAACTCCCTGCCAGGCGCTCACGTCTGGGGTTTTGCGTTCATTTTTTATGGCATTGCACAGACTGCTGTTTTTTATGGGAGCTGACGCCATGGCTGTCGCTGTTGCTGCGCACTTCCGGCTCCCCCAGGGCTGGTTGAGTTTTAGGACGGCAAGGGAGTTGCCAGTTGCGAGTGGTTCGCAAAAGTCGACCAACACATGGAACGGCTGCTCGACTGCCCAGAGCAGCATTTGATTTTCAGAATCAAAAAAAAAAAAACGTGGAGAGCTCAAAAACGTATTTGTAAAGTAATTATGGGCTGGCAAATTCCCTATATACCTACACATCAGCAACAGCAGCAAAAGCAGCAACAACAATTTAAATGCACATTTAGCCAGTAATTTAATTTTAACTGCGTTTGCCAAACATGCTAAACTAATTTGAATTTTTTGAATTTTTATTTTAGTGCGCATTTAATTAAGCGTAAACTGCATTGATTTGCATTTATTTATGGCTGACGCCAGGTGCCCCGCGTTAATTGCATTCACATGCCCAGAGATACCAGCTTATGCGAGTAAACACTGCGTATACGCAACAAATCAAATATAACCTCGAGTTGCGCACAGAGCACAAAACGTTTGTCAGAGGAACTTCAAAACTTGCTGCTGCTGAAGACATCAATGCTTAGTCCCTTTGGCAGTTGACTGATTCAAAGTAAGGAGCGAGAAGTCGGGGAAAAAGTGCTTAGTAAGGGGCGTCCGAATAGGAAATTCTCCGAAAGCAGCGCTGTGCATCTGTTAAAAACCTCCTAGATTTTTCTTACATATCTACACACACAGCTATGCATGTGCTTATTCTATCCTTAGCCCCATGACACTATGGGAAATGCTTTTGTAATTTTGTTTCAAGTCAGATTTTCATGAGACTTTCGGGGCGTAAATATGACATCGAAATGTTTGCAAATATCAAAGACCTAGGCTTTTAAGTCCAAAAGTGCGTTTGTGCTTCATATAAATATACAGGATGTGTGTATACTAAAAAATAGTATGTATACCAAAAAGATTTTGTTTCAGTTTCAAATCTGTATAGATTTTGAATTGGTTTCTACATCGATTTTGTCGACTTCTATATAGATTTTTTATTGATTTCTGATTGAGGATTTGAAGACAAAACAAAACGCGGGCGTCAGAAAAAACTACCTTAAACTTTTTCCGTCTTCAGATCTTGTAGCTTTCGCAATTGGAGTATGGCACCCACGGAATCTACTCGGCTCTTGTGGCTACCCAAGAATAGGAGCTGAACCATAATGATACCAGGATCTAAACTCATTTTATACCAGATAAAAGGTCAAAGGCTTGCACTTGAAAATATGCAAGGCGAGTATGGCTTGCGGTAGCTTCAATATTAAAGGGAGACGTACAGGCAGACATTTCACAAACAGTGTATATTCTTGTATTTCCTTTAGGAATGGGTGTATGGCGGGTTGGAGGAGGGAGGCAGTGTGTTCGTGGGGCTCAGCTGCGTTTAAAAGCAAACGAGTTCGTAGCAAAAGGCAGCCCTAAAGGCATTCCAACTTGAGTGGCTGTAAATGCTTGGCGATAGCGTCTAGAGAATTTGCCGCAGAAGTAAAAAGCGAAAATGTGAATTAAATGCAACAAACGAGGCATTTGGACAGCGAGCGAAATTGAAACGTTTAAAACTGGGCAAATAATTGCCATAATGTCAAATTGAGAAATGTTCAGAATAAAGCAATTGAAGCAATTTGGACGCCGTTCACCATTCGCCATTCGCCATTCGCCACTCAGCAGTGTCAAACATTGAAAACTATTTCAACAGTCTATGCGATGGAAATGCGTTCAGCTGCGGCTCTGTAAACAGCACAGCTTAACGACCATTTTGGGAGCGCACACACACACACACACACACACAGACACATACACAAGTTCACACGCATACAAATGACGCCTGACAGCGTTGCCACTTAATTTTTCGTGAAGTTGTCCCCTGGCATTGGCTCATCTAATTGTCTGCAACGCTTTGTTGCTTATTATGAAAGAATGCAAAACCACAAAAATGTATGTTATGTGCGAGCAGGCAGTGGGCGTTGGTAGGGGGCGTGGCATAGCTGATGATGCGCTGCCAGACAGTTTTTAGCAGTGCATCCCCAAAGCAAGCCACGCCACGTCAGCTGTGGCGCCACGAAATATGCCAGAAATATGTTAAAAAACAATTTATGCAAAGCTGCAAATCAGCGGAAAAGAGACAAAGATAAACACGGGAATTAAGACAAAGAGCGGACAGTGACAAGTGCAGAATAATGGAGACATTGTATATCAAAAAAGATAAACTTTAAGTTACTAAAAGCCATTCCGAAACATATTTAACAAAAACAGTCTTTTAGCTAGAGGTTTAAGAAAGTCAATATTTAAATTCAGCAAGTTTTGATAGATACTTGTTTTAAGATTCTAGATCTATGTGATGCATAGAGAAAGATACATATCTATATATTCGTATAAAGTCGATATAACCATGTCTTTTCTATTAGTCCCTCAGTTATAAAGCTGTCATCAGGAAATTTAGTATATATTCTTTTTATTACAGGCGGTATATATTTAGGAATTGGCTGAATCAGACTAGTTGATCATAAAGAGAAACGGTCAAATCTGGAGATCAATCGCTGAGGAATTTTATATCTAAAATTTTGATTTTTTATTGAAAAATTATCTGTCCCTAAGATATTTCGACCAAACTCAGCAGTTACATGCTTCACTTTAAAGGGCATCAAGCCTTAGCGTCCCACCTCTTAATATAAAGTTAAACAAAACTGAATGTATATAAACTAGCCCGGAATTAGAACTCGGTCCCTGAGGCTAGCTTACCTCAGCCAAGGAATGCATGAAAAATAAGTTTTATAATGATGGCACAAAAAAATGCTTGTATCATAAGTTTTAATATATTTTTAAGGGAAGTTTATTCTACATGATTAATAGACCAAGGTCTGTCTTCTATAAAACATATGCCAAACAAGTTGAGTAACTAAGTTTTGCCGATGATAGCGAAATATTTGCCAAACGAACTAATTTTACAAAATTAATTAGATTTTGCACTTTGACGTTAACAAACACGCCGCACGCCATGCCATGCGGATGTATGTGGGTGTGTGTGCGCGCGTATGTGTGTATGTGTTTGGTACAAGTATACGGTTATGTGGCACGCAGCATGATAGTACATGCCACAGCGGGAAACACACATATTTGGCAGTCAAACTTATATGGGACATCGACTCGACATTTTGTGCTAAATGCGTTTGTGTGCGTTTGAGTGTGTGTGTGTGTGTGTGTGTGTGTGTGTTTGTTGCGATATGCCATGTGGTGTTCACACTATCAAAAACCATTTGCGAGCAACACGACCAGGTGCCAGGCTCTGACAAAACAGAAGGATGAATGCCAGCTCCAACTCTAACTCCACTTCCGACAACAACTCCAATGCCAAAGCCCACGTACAAGCCATCCCCCCACCCGTTTTGGCCTAGAAAACTTGGTCTGGCATTGCCAACTGACGCAGCAATTAAAAGCGCAAATAATTTCGACTTGAATCGATTCGTCCCGCTGTCTCGCACGCATTCAAAACCCCAATTCCCGAGCTCGCTGAGCCAATTTTTGGTTGTCGACACACAAAAGCAAAAAATAACCCAAAAAAAAGAAAAATGAAACAAAAAAACTCCACCGGGAGTTGGCCCTGCGTGACATGCTTCCGAAAGTCAGCAGTTAACCAGTTGCCCCAGATGAGCTATGGAAATGTAGGGCACGTAGTCAGCCAATCAACTGTTGTTGGGCTAGGATATTCCCATCAATCTTAAAACTATATGAAAGTGTGATTCAGCTGGGGGATCAGCCGAATATCAAATATACTTATTCTAGCGCTTATAGCCCGGCCGTATCCGTGCCACTTATGATATAAACTCAATGTTCTCAAAAAGCTTTGAAAATGATTTTAAAACTGAGCGGACGGAAAACAAACTACTCTCATACAAATGTTTTCCGCCATTTTATCACTGATGCGAGATGAAATACCCCTCAAATAAATTTGGCCAAAGATCTTCGAAATTGAGTTTAAGGCCGATCGTTTTTCGTTTTTCGTTTTTCCCGATTTAACATGCACCTTCATCACATAGCTCTTACGGTATGGGCTGTGCGTTGATCAGTCAGTCAGTCAGGACAAACAGTTTTATATTAGAGAGAGATTACCAATATAAATTAATGGGTTTGTTATAGTTGTTGTAGATCTCAAAAGGTACTTTATACACAGGAAGAAGTGGTATGGAAAAAGCAGTAAAGGCAAGAAGAGTCGGACCATACATATGTAGATATAGTTGCAGATCATAATATATACTTATATGCAGAAAGTGAAAAAGTCGTGGATACTCACTCAGATACGTTGTTTTCGAAGATCAGCTCGCCGCGCACTTCACCGAAGTGCCGGCCACCAATTGCCGTAACATCCTCGGACCAATAGGGCACAATAACGGTGCCGCGGGCGCCGGAATAGCGCATGACGGCCAGATCATAGACGCCAACAGACTCGGATACCTCGATCAGGGAATCGGCAAAGGCAAAGATGCCCGCATGATCATCGTCCAATATCATGATGGTGGCAATTTGTGGCACTGCAAGATTCACATTTTCGGATGGATTGAACAGGCGTATGTAGAAGCATTCATCCTCCTCAAAGATGTCATCGTCGATGATTTCGATCTTGAAGCGCTGCTCATCGACGCCCGGTGGAAAGGTGAGTGCCCCCTTTTTGCCAACATAATCAGAGCCGGCCGAGGCAGTGCCGTCCTGTGTCTCGAACTCGACCTTGGAGTAGCCGGATATATCGCCGCGTCGGACAACGCGCACCTCGAACTCACCGCAATTCTCCATGACCGTATAATGTCCGGGCTCAAAGTAGATGCGTGTAGGCTCATCGTCATCATCGCTGAATTGATGAAGTTGAGCCTTTACCTGGGTGAGATCGTCGTGTGCACGTTCCTGAATTTTACGCATCAGATTCCCGCTGCCGATGAGTTTGCGTGTGGCCTGGATGCGATAGAAGGCACGTGATTTATTGCCGCGCGATATCATCTGCTCCTGTGCCATCATTTCCAGCTGATCCAGATCAGCATCTGGATATTTCTGTCGCAGCTCCGCCAGCAGCTGTATATACTCCAATCGCGCCTCATTGTACGCATTTGCACTCGAATTAATATTGACCAAACGTTTCGGTTCATCGCCACCCATCTCGACCGAGTCGTGCTCTCCAGCAACGACTGTGCCTCGTTTATTCATCCGATAGTTCTTGTCCATGTATTTGTAGACCAACAAGCGGCGTTCCGCAATGTATGCCCATAGTACCGTCAAGGGGAACATGATGAGCGTGACCAGACCCTCCCAGACCTCAACGATGCCCGGCGAACTGACCGAGAGAATGACCCACAGCCAGACATAGGCTAACACCGATAAGCTGGCCGTCACCATGAACACCCGCAGATGACGTATGCGTCGCGTCTCACCCTTCGGTATCAACACCATGCAGAGGGCAATGATGATAAACAGATTGTAGGCGGCGGAGCCGACAATTGTGCCCGGACCCAGATCGCCGCTCTCAAAATTCTTGGCATAGATTTCGATCACGGAGAGTAGAATCTCTGGGGCGCTCGAGCCGAGCGCCATGAGCGTTAGATTGGCCACAGTTTCGTTCCAGATGCGTACGCGCATCGTTTGCTTCTCACCCTTGGGACCTTTGACGGTCACGTTGCGCTCAATGGAGGTGATAGCCTCTATGGACGCCATGAAGCGATCCGATATGATAGACACGCCCACAAACAAATAGATCATCAGCATAAAGTAGACAAAGCCGCGTATGGCACGATCACCACTTGTGATGGGGCTCTGGGGCATCCACAGAGGCAGCACCAGACCCTCAGAACAGGTCCCGATTTCACTAGCCTCCCTACCTCCTCTAACCTGACTTGTGATGACCTCTTCATCGTCATCGGTGACATCCTCGACAGCGCGCTTTTGCCGACTTCGAATTTGTTCAATGCTGGACTGGAGACTGGTACCATTGAGCGTGGAGTCGGATTCTTGGGACACATCCTGGCGGGATGTGGCCAGTGCAAAGGTATGCCCCTTCACATAGACAAGCAGCAATAATATGGCGCAAGTGGCTACGGATGCGACGGTTTTTCGGATTAACAGCATGGTGGCGAATTCTTATTTTAGGTTTTTCGACTGTCCTTGTTAATCCTTGTGCTTGGAAGAGATTTGTGTGTATTGGCCTTCGTTTTGGAAGCGTTGTGTTTGTGCACAAATATGGATTGCGGTTTATAATGATCGAATCGTCCTGCGAAACGGCATCATCGCAAAAGCACGTTCAACACTTTGTGGCAACACTGGCGCACTCCTGTTCGTACCTGCAGGGCCGAAATTCAAGTAGAATAAACGCATTAGATATTATTAAAAATTACTAAATAGCATTATAACGAAAGAAATACCAGATAATATTCTGCAAAACATCTGCACCTCACGAATAAATTAAATAAATAATAGTTCCTTTGAATTCCAACATATAACATTATTTAACTTTGCCAGATGTGCGAATGGCATCACAAGTCGTTGCCAGAGTTTTTCAGTTTCCTTGTGTTTTTTTTTTCAGCTCTTTTGTATATTTACACGAAACAGAAACTAAACACAAAATTGCGAAATAAACTGAGAGCAAATGAAACTAAACATAGAACATAAACAAAATGCAGCAGTTAAGGAAAAAAACATACAAAGTAAGCAGAGCACGACTACGAGATACTCTATCGCGGCAGTTAGGGTTAAAAAAGAAATAAGCTATATTATTATAATATACATATACTATTATTAATTCGATTGTGATGTCTATGATTATTATTGTTTTAAATATATTTATAATAAAATATATTAAGTTACAATATTATTTTTTAACAACTTCATTTTGCCTGCTTTTTAAGACCCTTTGGCTAAGACACTGAAATTCTAATTGAACCCGTAACCTTAACTAAGGGTACGCCTGTGATTCAATACCTTCATTCCTAGAGCATACTCATAAAAACAATATACTAGAACATATTTATATCTCTCATTATAAATATATTTAGGGTATTGTTCCTAGATTTATTCAGCGACTGTGTTTATTACAGATATGAACGATTTGCTAAACGCTTGATAAACTGATACAACGGACCGGTAAATATGAATGCGATATGAAATCGATAAAATGCATATGTAGACAGTGTCAATAATGGGAATTAAGTGAGTGTGTGTGCGTCGAAGAAGAAGAAGAAGAAGCAACATGGCAAGGCATAACGGTAACTGCAATGGCAAAAACTTGACTGACAAGTGAATCGGACAAAAGTGAGCATTACAAAAAGGCAGCAAGACAGAATGCGAAAGCTTAAAGGAAAAGAGAAAGCGAAACAGAGAGAGAGAGAGAGAGAGAGAGAGACAGAGAGAGAGAGAGGGAGGGAGAGAGCGCGCTTGTGATAGAGGAAGAACAAAAGAGAGCGAGAAGAGAGTGGATGAGATAGTGGGTTATATTAAGATACAATATGCATATGCAGTTCTTCTATGCAGATGAATTGTTGCGAACGTATGTACATAATATAATTTATAAATATATAAATAAATAAAAATAAATAATTATGTATATGTATACATAGAAATATTTAATCTTAATAGGTAATAAATCTACAAGCAAATTCCAAAAGAACTTGAAACATTACGGCAAAATGTAGTCGAATTCTTCGATAGCGCGAAAAAAAAAATTTAAAAGTATTTTAATATTTATATGTACATATTTCGGTCAAAATGTTAACAAATTATTTTTATTCTTTGTATATGCCGAAATTTAAACAGAGCCCCAGCAAAGCGACAACTATTTATTTATAAATATTTATTCTCGTCAAGGGAGAAGAAACAAATTTACACGACAAATTAATTATGTTATAAACCTGATTTATTTGTCTGGCATAGTTCGTATCCAAAACTGATATGCTGCACAGTATCTGTTGCAGGGGCAAAGATAATCATTGACGCTTGCATTAATTTAGCAATTACAACGGCAAAATGTGCCAAGAGCTGCTACGGAATGGGATGGGGAGGCGGGGGGGAACATAGTATGCCAGACAGTCAGATAGACCCGCACGGGGCGCAGAGATACGTATGCCAATACACACACACAAGCACAAGCACAGGCACACACACACACACACACACACACACACTTACATACACTCACATAGTTGCTAAAGGCAAGTGCTCAGTTTTTCCACCCGTTTTTCATTTCAGCAGCAAATTGCATTTAACCGTTATTGAAAATTTCGTGCACGTCTAGCGAGAAGAGAATTGCGAAATTAATTGAAAGTCTTTCGAACAGACTCGGTTTGTTATTATTCAGATTATGCGTGCTATATGTACATACATATGTACTGATTTGTCTTTTTATATAATATTTATGGCCACTGTGCGTAGTGTCTGAATATATATTTAAATATAGCACATTGGCTCAAGGCTCAAGAGGCACCACGCACGGGTCTCGGTATCGGGGTCTGACAGCTTATAAGCGCTTCATTACGTTACGTTAGCTGGCACTTACGTTGCGCTTACGTTGTTTGGACTACGTCGGACTACGCGACCCGTTCACTGTTTGTATTGGCCAAACTTGAGTTGGGCAAACATTTCGGCTGGCTCGCCAAACAATTGTTGAATTTCGGGCTGTTTTCTATTTGGATTTTACTTGACTGGGGGGCCCCTAGGTTATGTGGGTACGCGTTCTGCCGACCACTCGAGGCACTGAATTCATCTGCTCTCGCGTTCACGTTCGGCAGCCAATGCACAACTAATTCGCTAACCCGCCGCCTGTCACCTGGCCGCCACGCGTTGTCCCAAGCTCTCATAATTATTTCAGTGCCCTACACTAATTTGCTCGAGCTTATAGGTTTATCAAGGGACATTTTACGTTCAGACTGATGTTGGGGTAAAACAGTTAAAAATATAATCAAAAATTATCAGCTTAAGACACAACTCAGCTTGAGAAAAACAAAATATCTCTTCATAAAATATCAGAACGAGGTTTTCAAAAAACTTAAATAAAGTTGTAGTGGTAAGGTTTTGTCTGTACAGCTTATATCGTTGGTATGAAAACTCTTCAATAAAATGAATTCTCAGGTCTTTAAAATTCACAAGTTGTTATGACTTGTGCTTAGTTATCTTATTTGGAATCTGTAGGGTATTGACAGTCTTATACATGTTGTGTTTTCCTATTCCACCACAATTATTAACCTATGTCTTTGTCTGTCAAAATATTCGCTGTTATTTTAGCTGCGCGCCGTTTCACTTAGTTTGCTTTGCTCGCAGCTCCTTGCCCACCATCTCGCTCGCTCTCTTGCGCTCTCTGTCTTGCACTCTCTCACTCTTTCTCTATTTAATGCTCGTTCGTTGTTCTGTTTTTCCCTTGGATTTGTTTAGCATTACATTTTGTTTATTATTGCTGCTTGTCTCTCTCTCTCTGTCTCTCTCTTTCGCTCACTGCGTCTCTCCTTCCTTCCCTCTCTCTCTCTCACTGTCTCTCTCTCTGTCTCTCGAAAAACATTAAACAGCGGGTAAAAATTCGGTTGAAAATGTACAAAATTTGTTTTGTGGCACCTTTGGTCAACTAGTTCTGACAAATTGCTATTTCAGTGTGTTCAGCAGGCGTTCCGTGTCTTTAATCTCAAGCACTAAAGATAGCACACTACTAAGAGTTTAGCTCTTCTGCGCCCGTCAAATAGTTGGCTCAGCTATTTATACCCTGTACCCAATGAAAATGGATAAAAATGGATAGATGGCTAGATTGGTTTTGTGCAAATGTTAGTAACAGGCACAAGTAGTCTTCGCAAGTCCAATATTTTTCGAAGAGCCAATTCAATCGATTTGCTATCGATATTTCAGCCTATATATAGCACCGATAATTATCGATTTATAGACGTAGGTAGCATAGCTCATATGGGTTAATACTTTGCTTTTTGACTACCTTCCATCGTTTTCTACACACAGAAATTACAAAAATCTCTATTTTAAACTTGTGTCCGAGTGTACGTCTATTCAGCGTCGTATAGGGCATCGCCTAGTCGGTCACATCTGACTAGAGCACTCTTACTTGCTTTCTTTAACAATTTTATTATGCTTGCCACCCAGCTGTGCAACATGCTTGCAAATGCGTTTTTTTTTCTTTCTGCCTACCCTTCAGATATTTTTAGACAGATCTATGCGAGTGCATGCATACGCACACACACACACACACACACACACATATGCATATAAATATATATGCACACTCATGTGCGACTGCAACTGCCACTAGGTGCGAATGCAATGTTTGATCTATGCAGAAATACATATTTTATACTCACTCAACTATTGTCTGTGCTTAAGGACAGTGGATTGCGGACTGTGGCTGTGGGTTTCTGTCTTGACTTTGGCACTAGTTGGTTGTGCTTGGACGGAGACCTCTTTGTGTATATTACGTGTATAAATTTGGAACGCACTTTGTGCCACTCAGTTGCCAATAACCGAGTCCTACCTGAATGATTTACAGCCTGGAAGCGACGCGTTTGAGTTTAAAGTTCGCAATACTATGAATAATTCATGAGTTGTTGATTCATTCACTGCCCCCTACGCTCTGTCCCTGTCCTTCCCTGTGCTGCTGCTTGCTCGGCCACCCAACCACTCTGTCTTTTTCACTTTCTCTCTTTCCCTCTCTTTTTGTCTTTCAAAGTCATATCTCGACTTCTTCACGGCGGCTGCTAAATACCGTCATTTCTGTTTTTTTTGGTAGGCAAGCTAAGCGCCGCCAGCTTACCTTCTGGGGGAACTGTTCCGCTTGAAGCAGCTCCTAATCCTGGTTTGTGTGTGCCCAATCGAAGTAGATTCTCAATTTTTCCTTTAACTTTATTTATGTGAAGTTTAACTCAAAACTATCCACAACAAACGAATCTATCATATCGCGTACCATTTGGCTCACTGCCCAACGCCTTATTCATAACTCTACCTCTTTGACACCTGCTGATATCAGTGTATATGTATATAAAATGTATATGACATTGTATATCGATATTTATATATATATACCTCGTGTGTGTGTGTTTAATGACGTACGAAAATTCACTGCAGAGACTTGACTGTTCGATTATATTATTTGCGATAAGTTGAGACAACTTGAAACCATATTAATTTCATATCAATATGACAAGCCAATTGATATAGTGAATGGGGTTGTTTTATAAGATTATTACATAAACAGGCACTTAAAAACAGTTCAAAATAGAGTTAAGCACGTGTCATCTTTTCTTGTGTGACACAAAGGCAAACAAATATCGTGCGTAGTCGTGCTTTATTCACATATTTTAGGCGTGAATAGTATAAAAATCGAAAATACATAATAAATATAATAATAATGATAGTAATATTAATAGTTTGTATATTATAGTCTCTGTGTGTTTTGTAAAACTATATTTAGTGTTCGTGTCGTTTTCGACAAAGCTTGCACGCGCTCATCTCTAGCTAAACACAGATTTAAGTGATAAGCAATCGGTGCAAGTGTCATCACTAGCTTGAATTCGAAAGCGACCCTGGTTTATTAATACCGTTATCTATAAAGCGTCATCGTATTTTTTTTGGTGTACAACAAATTTATAGTAAATCAGTAATATTTATATAGAATTAAATCCAAGGAAGATATGGTCTATCTATAAAGATACTGCCAAATCTAGCATGCAGTATACTAAATAATACATCAATTTGGTCAACGTTTTAGCTATTTTTAGCCAAATGATAAGGCCAGAGATAATAACGGTAAAGATCTGGCACAGGTGATAACGCGCACATAGACATTATTTACACAAGCTTCGTTACAATCAGAAGTAAATTGTTGATATTAAATGTTGTAATTAAAACCATAAATAAATGATTAATACGTGAGGCAGAAGCTACGACTAATATTTATGTATGTACATTATTTCTATTGAAATCGTAATCAATGTCGCTTCGAACTTAAAATTTGGAAAATACTTTTTGGAGATATTTTGCCATAGATACTGACCCATATCTATAGTACTTGAGTGCAGTTCGTACTTTGTTTAGATTAGTTCCTAAAAGTCGAATGAAATGAATAAAAATGTCTAAGAAATAAAAGAAATATTGTGTTGATTAAAGTTGGACATTACACAAAACTAGAGTGTCCAGTCTTTTCGCGCGAGTCCCGATGAAATGTGCTTCATGCTACTTCCCGACTTGAATCGCGAAATACAAAGGAGAATATAGGCTGCAACTATATACTATGACTATCTGCTTGCTAAATAGTTTAGAATTGATGACTTTATATGAGAAAGAGAATTCTTTTACAGACGACCAGAGGACCAGAGGATGCAATGCATAGTTAGTTGAAAAAAATTGAAGCGATTAAGGTCTATAATTAAGACTTAGTCTAGTAGGGATAGATAAGTTTAATTGGCTAGTTAATCCAGAAGAGGCTATTTCACCAGTAATTAACGTATGTATTAATATTAATTTATTACATGTTAATTGGCAGACAAATATACTACTCAAAAAGTAAAAGTTAATATAGGAATAATATTAAAAGTACTGTATTAAATTCTTAGATTTTTCCTTCTGTACTTATGAAGACAGCAGAGCATGTTTACAAGTTAGTCATAGATTCTATCTCTAAGCCCAACTACCTTTACTTTTCTGATATTTATTTGCTTCTTCCCTTTTGAATATTTATGAAAATCAACTTCTAACTAAATTTTTGCTTTGTCATATCACATATATATGTAAATAGCCCGCTGTGCATTCCACTCCCTTAGCACTCCTTAATTATTAACTAGCTAACAGCTTTGTGTTGGTATTTTGTTAATTTAATCAAACTGTTTAGCTGAACACACACACACAACACGAGCTCCCACCTGTGCTTCTGCTCACGTGTTGTTATTTTGTGGCTGCTTTTAAGCAAGCCACAAGGCAAAGCCGTGGCCCTTTTTTTTTTATTTTGCATTAGCAATTAGACTAAATAATTGATTGGGCGTCACTTTGGCAACGAGAACATTAGAAACCTAACTGGCTGGGGCCCAAATCATTTTTAAGTCGGTTCCATGCCTGAAAGTGTGTTTGAGTGCGATTCAAATATTTATCATACGCCACGTTGACCGCACAGTTGGCCTAATTGTGTTGAGACTTGTGAAAGTAATCGCAAAAGGTGTGCGCATATATAAAGCAGACACTGTCAATTGGTTTTAAGTAAAGGCTGCCACAGCTGTGAGCAGACACACACACGCACGCACACTCAGATAACATCATATCTGAGCGAACAATCCGAGTGCTTATATCAATTCCATTTTCTTACTGCCTTGCTCTGTCCCTTGCCTAATACCCAGCAGATGGGCGCACAAGTGGGTGTATCGAGACGTCTGCTAAATGCATTTCAGATGAACATTTTCAAGCTCCTTGTAGCTCTTTTAGAGAGTCACTTCTAGATAAGAGCATTATAGTCGCTCTGATGATGCATCTAATCTGATTACTAGTATCAAGTTTTATGCAAATACATATGTTTTTCCTGATCTACTGACTGCAATGCTGTTTGATAATTACAGCGAAGTCGGAACCTTTAAAGCTAAGCGCCTAAATGAACTTTGAACTTGACATTTGCTTGCGAAAACCTTTAGCTGATGACGAACTTGGCTCGAGTAACGTCGGGTAATAACTGACAGTTAAACTATGCTTTGAGATACAATTTTGGTCTATTGCAGGGCGTCTAGCTAGTCGGTCAGTTGCTTCTGCTGAAATTGTGATTATTTTATGTTGTGAAAGC